TATAGATTTGTCATCTTGAGAAATTCGTTGATTTTTCCTCTTTGTCAGCAAAATATATATTCTTTAAAAATTTCAATCCATGAAGCTGGCTCCTTTTTCTTCAAAAAAAGGAGCAGAGATTGTAAGAAACCGCAATGGAGATACGTGGTTTTGCACTTTGCCCATCGACTTATCATAAAATGTTGGTCAATTTTGATCAATTTAAGGTCACTTTCCGAAATTTTAAGAAATTTTGAGCCCGGCCAGGGCCAGATTTACCTACTTCCCGCTCATGAGCCGCCTATATTTTGCCGTCTCCTTCTCATTCGTTTTGAAACATCAATAAAAACCATCAAGTAAACGTGCCGGAGGGGGAGGGATGCATACGACGCGTTAACTCGTGTTGGATACATTTTCTGAAAAAGCCCTGTCAACACTAGCAAAAGTTCACGGAACTTTGCGCGAAATTTAAGTTCCGTAAACCTATTTCTGTGTGGTCAAGGCCTTCCATTTATCAGAAATGAATGAAAGAATTATGAAAGAACAAACAGAAATGTGGTTTAATGATTTTAACTTCCGTCGCCGCGCCGCGCAGACCGCACTGTGTTTGGCGCAATGCGTGAAGTATTCCTACAGTGTTGTAGGCGCTGTACATTTCACGCCGACCGCTGCTGAACACACTGTGTTTGACGCAATGCGTGAAGTATTCACGCAGTCTTGTAGACGCTATGCGTTTGACGCTGACCACAGTGACCGCACTGTGTTTGATGCAATGCGTGAAGTATTCATGCAGTCTTGCAGGCGTTAATATGTGTTACATGCCGATCGCTGCGCCGAGAGCTTCTGCTTTTCGTCTCAAATCCTCTTCATAATTTCTGTCTAAGCCGTTCCTGGCCAAATTGCGTGTTTGGTCTCTCTCTTAACTCGACTAATGAAAGATGCTGTCTTGTATTACTGAAATACGAAAAAATTAGAAATTACTGTACTCTCAGGAAATGAGAGATTTTATCGCCTTTTCTAGTTTGTAATTTTTTTTATACCTACATTTAAAATAATTGCAAAATTTGCTGCCCCCTAGATTTGCCGCCATGGGCCCATGTGGCCACCCCCTAAATCCGGCCCTGAGCCCGGCCCTTCCTAAAATTTGAGTGTAACGCTACCCCCGCAAAAGCTGTCTTACGTTATCCGCAAGCTATTTGTATTTTACATTAGGACTAGTGAAATATGAATTTCAAAACGACCAGTTTGCTCTGGTCGCAGAATCTTGACGTGATGTTTGAATCCCATTAGAAAAATATGAGGGGTGTGAAGGGCAGTTGCTCCCATTGTTGATATTACATGGACGTATTTCTGTCAAACGGGACTATTTGCACTATTACATGAGCCCTATAATGCATATATCCATATGGGTCTCAGGACTCATGTCTTAATGCACATAGTTCCGTTCAGCAGAGATACGTCCATTTAGAGAGCGATGGTGCGCGGAGTTTCCATCTCTGTGTCACAGTTACCTGGCACAGATCTCCAGAGAATTGCAAAACAGATAGGTCATGTTGGCATGAAGCAGACGAGTAAACACTTTTTCGTCAAGATTCAAAAAATGGCTATCTCTTCACCACCCTCTCTATTTTCTCCATGGGCTGCTTCCTCGAATTGACCTAATTTTAAGCCAATGCTGATTCATTTTGATCAATTTCAGAATATGTTTCGAATGTCTTTGCATATTGTCCCCTATCAACATCTTTAACGACAAATTCAAAGTTTTCGATGAATTGCTCACAAAGTTTCACAATGAGCAAAACTGCAAAGTCCATACGCGTTGTTCCCAACTATTCCGCAGATATTCCGAGTAAATGCTCGAGTACCTGGAAGCGCCAGTACATAGATAGTGTTTCTCCAACCGCCAGTAAAATGACAAGAATGACATTGATGCAGTATTGGCCCTCATGAAATACGTATGATTTCTGTAATGTCTCAGGGTTATAGCTCACCCTTACTGGGGCCAGCAACAGGAACTGGCTCAGAAAATATAACGGTTTGAAGGAAGAGAAATGCACTGAAAATAAATAAAAGATATTGTATTTTACATCATTCTTCAAAAGAGTTGGAGTCAGGGAAATTGCAATTGATCAGTACAACGGAAAACTGATTTGAGGTCAGAAAAATTGATTTTTAAGTTTTTCTTATACAACTCATCGTGGTTTTATCATAGAGACTGATGGAAGTATAATTTTTATTATCCGTGACATTATGAGCTTTGGATGTGAATCGTTTCTAAGGTTGATAACAGCGGATGTCGGGATTCTTTGATAGCGTTTTTCTGAAACTTCCCATGTTTCTCCATCAAGTGTTTAATCGCACCCAAAGAGTCAATACCCACTTGAAATGGCTGCATTCCATTCTTTACCCCCAAAGATGCAGGGTAAATACATCTAATCTGTGGCATTGTTATTATTTTTTCCCCATTTTTCCCACCTAGCCTTCGGATATACGTACGGCAAGGTAATGACACTGAATGTTCTGGTTGTCAATTATCACTGGATTGGTAAATATCGTGTATGAAATTTAAACACCAAACGATATGTCTTCGTGTAAAAATCTGATGATAAATATGGAGTGCAGACTCGTTTCCAAAATTAAGTAACGAAAGAGAAATTAGCGCTTTTAATTTACGTAGAAGTCTAAATTTTTGCCCTGAATTATAACACTGACATAACTTTCAAATGTGAAAATGCAGTTTACTTACACGTCATGTAGAGCTGAAGAGAGGAACGCTTTTATAAGAAATTCCACGTCATAAAACTATTTACAGCTTCCTGTGTATTTAATTCATTCTCTTCACATTGAATTACATATTTTATTCCGAAGTATTAAGCATATAAACAAACCAAAGATTAAGCCTGACAAAAATGAGAATAGTATTAAATCACTGAAGGATTGATCATCCTCGACAAATGAATACATCATTTAATTTATTTTGAATTTGAAGAGCCACGTCTGTTTTCCCTCCACACTCTTCCACTCTTCGAAGAGTTAAAAAGGAGTTGATTGTAAATTTCTGAACGCTTAAAGAAATTTTCCGTCAACTCTTGTCTAGATAAGTGAGACTTTTTTTTTAATAGTATTTTAGGATTTTTCCCTTTAGTCTGGCATCATTGTAGAGGACCGTAGAAGTAAATCATTAATTTTAATCATGTTAGGCTTGATTTTCTTAAACTTCAGCATGATTAACAATAATTATGCGGACAGATTTGAATAAATAAATCAATCATTGGAGCATCAAACACGTAGATAAGAACTAATTTCTCAAATTATTAACCTAAATTTTACCGTCTAAATTCCGCGTTTGTTGAAAATTTTCCTCTACAAAAGCCAAAGAGACATAACTAATGACTGCGCAGCGTGTTCATATCACAGTTTGTTATGTTTATCCGTGCGTGGGCTTCAAGAAGGGAAACAAAAATAAAGTGTCATATTCTTCGTAGGCAGTTTAATAACAAGTCACTTCTCTTGTATCAAACTTGATTGACGTTCCAACGATGTCGTTTGGTTCATACCGAATAACTTGGATAAGAGAGATATAGTTGAAAAGGAGTTTTATTTCTCATTGGTACCTACACGATATTTTGTAAAAAAAAAAAAAAAAAAAAAAAAAAAAAAAAAAAAAAAAAAGATAATTACGTTACGCTTTAAGAAAAGGGGGAAGAGGTAGGAAAGGAGGCAGGGGGCAAGGGGGTCGGATTAAGGGGGTGGCCTCATGGGCCGCGGCCCATGGCGGCAAATCTAAGGGGCGGCATTAATTTGCAATTTTTTAAAGTGTAGGTATAAAATAAAAATCGGATTCATAAAGGCAAAATTTCAAACGAGAAAAGGCGACAAAATCTCTCATTTCCCGATAGTATAGTAATTTCTAATTTTGTCGTCTCTTAGTGATACAAGAGACAGCACCTTCAATAAGTCGAGTTAAGAGAGGGACCAAACACGCAATTCGGCCTGGAACGACTCGACTTAGAGAGAAATGATAACGAGGACTTGAGATGAAAAGGAAAAGCCCTCGGCGCGGCGATCGGCATGTAATACATATTAGCGCCTACAAGACTGCACGAATACTTCACGCATTGCATCAAGCACAGTGTGGTCATTGCGGTCAGCGTGAAACGGATAGCTCCTACAAGAATCCATGAATACCTCACGCATTGCGTCCAACACAGTGCGTTCACCAGCGGACGGCGTGAAACGCATAGCGCCTACAAGACTGTCGGAATACTTCACGCATTGCGCTAAACACGGTGCGGTCTGCGCGGCGCGGCGGCGGAAGTTAAAATAATTGATCCACATTTATGTTTGTTCTTTCATAATTTTTTCGTTCATTTCTTATGAATGGAAGGCCTTGTCCACACAGAGATAGGTTTACGGAACTTAACTTTCGCGCAAAGTTCCGTGAACTTTTGCTAGTAGTGTTGACAGGGCTTTCCCAAAAAATGTGTTCAATACGAGTAAATGCGTCTTATGCACCCCTCCCCCGCTGACACGTTCATTTGATGGTATTTATCGAGTTTCAAAACGAATGAGAAGGGGGCGGCAAAATACAGTCGGCCCATGGGCGGCAAGAAGGTGAATCCGGCCATGGGGAGAGGTGAGGCTGTATGACGAATGCGTGACGGAGGAAGAGAGGGGTCATGACACTTTGTGACGTCACGCAACGATAGGCGCGGAGCGTTGATTATATTTTTAAATTTGTAAAAAGTTTTGATGTCCAGATCGAAAAAAATGTCAATTTTTGGCATAAATGACACTACTTCTAAAAAGGCACTCCTACCATTATTTTCAAAAGAGTGGTGCAGAGCTGGTGCGTGGCGGTTGTGTGGCGACAGGAGGGAATCTAAATTTCCAGATTTCAGCTTGTTGTAATTTACGGACAACCATTTTTTTTATTGCTCTGAAAGTCTTTTCAATGCTGTTATAAAACTTTTGACAAAAAGATTGGTTCTTCGTTTTTTATTGAAGATTTTATTCGAGGTTTTCATATTACATCAAAAGAAGGGGAGTACAGCATGAGGTGATAATTGGATCTATTGGAAGTAAGTTTTTTCTCTTTTATTTTTTACATTTTATTCTAATTTATTTACAAAACGGAAACAGCGTTTCGAATTTGGATTGAGATCAACAAGTAAGTTGCTGACCACCCGAACACCTGGAACAAAACAGATATCCATGCAAAACTCGGAATATAAAATTTGATTGTTAGATATTGAATCCTAAATTTATAACTAATTGTGGCAAATTCAGTTATAAATAGCCATTCATGAAACAGGTACTGGACGGACATCTATTTCAAAAGTGAATAGGAAAAACAATTCATGAAACTTATGAGTCAAAACAATAATTAAAACCAAGCAATTAGTCTCAAGCTTTAAGAAATATATACATTTTGAAGAATATTTTTTTTTCCAGACTACCAATTGAAAATAGTCAAGCAATTTTGAATCTTTAAATAATCCCATTTTCCGATCTATTTTTTTAAATCCAATCTTTTCCACTTTTGAATTCTACGATCAAAAGTTCCACTGAATAATTCCGTTTTTAAAAGTGTTGGGAATTTCATGAGAAATGTCCATTACTTCAATGACTCAAATAATATGAAAAAGTTTCTGCATTCTACAAAACATCGTTGACTCCAGATCTAAAGAAATTATTTTCCACATAGGGGAAGCATTAATCTACTCAGAAAGTATAAAATGTGTTAGCATTATTAAAAATGTCAGCATTGTTTTCTGCTTCTTCTGTTAAAACAAAATCTGATTCAAAATTTCTACTGTGAAGAAATACGAACCGATGTCAGTAGAGGCAGTTTCAATTTTAAGATATCCGTTGCCACGAAGTCAAGGAGCAAACAATTTTGTCGGAATACGAAAGTTTTCAGCTGAAAAAATAAAACAAGAGGTGTTTAAAAATAATTTTAACTTTGATATAATGAAATAATCTTGTACTTGATGATCGAAAACGAACATTTCAGTAGAGTGAAGGTATTAATAAGAAAATTGTATGCTAATACATGATTACACTCAATGTGCACTATTGCTGATATTATTGCTGCGGGTATAAGCTCAAGCGCCTTTAATGTTTTTACATTTACAAAATTGAAATCTATCTGTGCACAAATAGACGTATCCTCATAGTGTCCTTGATGCTGCACACAGATGTTAAGGAAAAACTAAGAATACGCAACATATCGATTTCCAAAGTGCGAAACCACGTATCTTTGTCTGCGACGTTGCAGACTTCCTGTCAAACTTTATTTTTTTCTTCGGAAAACCAATCAACGTTATTTCTTAAAAACCTCCTTGATTTTCCCTCCCTGTTAGCAGAATATCATGCATGAATTTTAAGCTGTAAAGTTAGCTGTTTCCTCTTTAAAAAAATGATGTAATTGGAGCGGGAATTTTGGTAAATCGTAATGTGAATACGTGGTTTTGAACTCTGGCAATCAATATGTGTTTCCAAACGCATAGAAACAACTTACCTCCTCTAGAAAGTACTCCTCCGTGTTTGTGCTCAAAAACTTGCAAACAATCACCGCTGCCCTATTACCCTGTACACAAAAATACATCTAATGTTGGTTTTGAAATGTTTAGGAAATCAGTGAAATGACGGCTCCACTTCCAAGACCGGGTGAGGAAAGGTAAAATTCTAAAAGTGCAAACTTCAAAAGCTCCTCACAATTTTGCAAATAATTATTAGTAATAATTTATTCCATCGGCGCCGTGAGCGACGAACACTGAACTAAGTTCATTATAACGGCTAGATACAACTATTTGGGCTCTATGGATGTCCGTGTTGCATACGCACGGGGATGAAGGCGTTTGAGGGGCGTCCAGGCATTCGACGCCTAATAATAACCCGTCCATAACGCAACGCAGGCGCGGCGGGCTGCACTGCACTGCACTGCGAGCATCCAAAATGGCAGAGCACCTTCAACTCTTCGTTTATACTAAAAATAAAAAAAAAATCTCTCGGGCAAGAGTAGTGTAGTTGCACACATGCGTAAGACAAGAGTTTCTTCTCTGCTGCAATTTTGATTCCGCGATGTGCTATGCATGATTTCTGGAGCAACTATTGGTACCTATGAAATATCTTCGCAGTAAAAACGGATAATTAAAAGCACTCAGTCATTTTGGATCCTCGCAGTCCAGCCCACCGCCGCACTGCGCTGCGCCATGCTTGAAGCGTTGAGTGCCCGGAAAGTCAAAACGCCTTCATCTCCATGCGTATGCAACACGGACATCCGTGGAGCTCGAATAGTTGCATCCAGGCGTTATGGTGAAAATCGTCTAAGTGTTCATTACACGTGATTTTAACTAAAGGCGTTTTGCTTATTCCTCATATATCTTATCTTAATTCCAGCGTCACCTATTGTGCCGATTATTAACTGTCACTGATTTTTATCGCGACATTGGAAATTTTCCAAAAAATGCATAGATTTGTAACATACAACAAGACATAAATACTCGCCTCTGTGGATGCCAGGGCCGGCGGTATGACGAGAACAGAGAGAGCAAAGCAGAAGCAGCACATCCACAAAAAGTCACAAAGAGCGCAAAGCTTGTGCTCAACCGAGAGCTTCGTCGTGTTGTCGAACATGGAGATCAGAAAATGAGGGATGCCGATGAGCTGGAATGAAGTCATCACTATCATTCCGAAAATCAGGCCCCCGAAGGCTTCGTTCACCAGCTTCACGCAGCGAGTCGTGTACCAGAAAAGCTGAAACAACTCGCCTACTCGTCGCCGCGCTATGGTACGAGCTGAAACATAAAGCAGCTTTAAGGAGAGGAAAGTGTAATTGAGTACAAGAAACAGACTTCTGTAAAAGGGACGACGACTCATTGTTAAGCGCTTAGCCGATACGGAGCGCTTTTTAAATTCAACCTGCCTCAAGAATTTGAGTACACTATGGTTTGGACGGAGTTAAACAGAAAGGAACCAAGCCACATCGGGATCGAACCGGGAAAAAGAGGTTTAAAGTTTGGCTCCTGCACAAGACTCAAGGAAAAAGATAAACTTCAAGTTTAATTTCTGCAAAATTTGCTCCAAGAAAAACTTTGAATTTTTGGCGATAGATAGTAGAGCAGTGGTTGAGTTCAAAACCACTCATAACTCAATTTTTTCCAAAATGTGGGTTAGTTCCTTTCTGCTTAACTCAGTCTGTTTATGATGTTTGTCTTGGGTCTCCCCAAGACTTTTGCCTAGTGGCAAATCGTTCAAATGACAAACCGGCTCCGCAACACGGATAGGGGCCTCAAATATTTAGAATAGATGTATCTATGTGTATGTATAAGCCGCTTTTACGGCACGCTAGGGCACTCTGCGACGCCTACCCACCATAGGAATCTTTCATGGTAGAGATCCTCCGGAAGCTGGCATCTCTTCACGGATGCCCTCTACCTACCGTTTGGCTGGACACCCTCTCCGTCGCCTTCCTGGAGGGACCCTCTGAAACACCTTCGGCAACCTGTAATCAGCCATCCTCTGCACATAGAATTATCTATTATACTTTTATTTCGTGCTTCTGATATCAATGAGCGAGGGACGATAATAGTTTTTCTATGATTAATTTTTGCAATGGTAGTGTACTTTTCTCAAAATTAATTGCTGAAATTTTGGTGAGGCGAGTTCTTTCGCTCGACGGTTTTCTCAGCAGTGCTCATCTCCTTCGGGGAACTTAAAAACGAGCCTACATAGAAAACAGCTGAGCGCTTCTCTCATACAAACGTGCAAGAGCTTTTGTGCTTGTTTGGCTCTATATTTAGCAATTTCTCGAACCTGGTAGCAAATTTTTCCGTCTACTGATGATCCAAATAATGTCTTGTCGAAAGTAATTGGCCAGCTCCTGGTGCAACGCAACATTTATGTGGCAAAATCTACTCCTTATACTGAGCACGATGTCCCCGTACTGGACCAAAATAGTGGCGCACATGAGTCGACTGAACAGGCACAATGAGAAAATGACCCTTTCGACCGTGGTGAATTTCCAGACGCAGTAGTCCATGGCCAGGAGAGTCGCGTTGAAGAATATGAGGAAGGCAGCGATGTATTTGAATTTCCCGCGCTTAGAGGGTCGTTGCAGAAGACTGTCGATATGACACAAGGTTTTGTGGAGACTCAACAGCCGGTTGAAGTTAGTTTTAGTCTTGACGACTCCCACGAGAGCCAGGATCATTGAGGAAAGTATGAACGCAGCGAAAATGATCATTTTATCAGGGATGAAGTGGTCGGAATCGGGATTTCCACTTCTTTTTCCGTTCGGATGAAGCTCCTGAAACCGTGAGAGCTCCGATTACAGATTAATAAAATTAAACTTTTTGTTGCTGCGAGCCTTATAAATCTCGCCTATAAAGTGAACGAATTTAACAACAGTTATTTTAACTCTATTCAGAAGTTACAGGCCCTGGCCCTTACATTAAATAATTTAAAAATTACTAAATTTAATAAATACTTTGCTTATCCAAGTATTTCATATTATTGAATGTTTCAATTTAGTTTTAAGAATTCATTTAGCCTCATTAACTTACGGCTAAAAAAAATAAACTTGAAACGCAGTGATATAGTTCATACCTTGCCTGGCGGACAATTGCCGATGTCGAGATCAAAAAGTTTTTTTGTAAATTCCAAAAAATAACGGCTAATATAATTAACTTACCTGAAAGCGGTAATACATTGACACTATCTGGCCGATGGACATCAAACTGACAAGGAGCAGATTGACACGGAATTGATATTCGTGGAAAACGTATGACTTTTCCATCGTCTCTGGATTGTGAATCTCGCTCACCGGGGCCAGAAGCATCAGCTTGCTGAATAAGAATAATGGTTTGTAGAAGGAAAATAATACTGCAAAAAGACACAAATTGTATTATTTTTTTCAAATTTACGATTATGTAATTTTATCCAATATTTCTGTGATTTTGCGAAAGAGCGCAGGTTTTTTTTTTATTTTTCCTATCCGTGCGAGTAGTTTCAAATAGTCTAAATAGTTTTTTTCCTCTTAAATTTGTAAGATAGATTTTGCAATAAATACGTCACTATCTAATTTCATTGTTTACTTTGGCGGCCAAAACATGCATGATTGAAGCAAACTTTCATGTAAGAAATGCATCGATCTCCAAAAAATGCCACATTCCCGACCATTTGCAATTTTTTTAGGACAGAATCGAGGTTTTTTTTTACCTACTTCATCCCATATGTTTTAGAAATCGATGACATAGTGCGAAACCACATATTTTCGTTTGCGACGCTGCAGACTTCCTGTCATATTTTTTTTTTTCTTCGGAATACTGATCAACGTAATTTGTTGAGAACTCCCCGTATTTTTCTTCTAAGTAAGCAGAATATTCTTTATGAATTTTAAGCTTTCAAGTTGGCTTGTTTCTCTCCAAATAAATAAAATGGGAGCGGACATTTTGAAAAACAGCGATGGAGATACGTGGTTCCGCACCAAAGTCGCCGAAATGTATTCTCGGTTAAAACAATACATAAAGCTATCATTCTTTATTATATTTATACGTGCCCCCTATACATTGACTTAGAGACCTATAAAACATTCACAATAAAGAGGGGAACATTTCAGTAAGTCTTACGTGTCATGTATGATGATATAAATGAAACTGGAAGGTTGGTATGTCCAGTTTCGCATATTATAAGTTGTGCGCATGCAGATCACAAGTTAGTGTGTTTCGATGGCTGTATAGTTCAATTCCAATATCATCTATGAAAAGAGTCCAAATTATGGTAAAGACCATTTAACCTAAAATATATGATAAAATGAGTACAGCTCAACCATTGCTGCTGATGTTTACTTTCTCGCTCCCCTAGTTTCAATTCTCGACCCCACGCAGTTCAGATTCACTCTGTCTATTTCCTTCGGAATTTACAAATCAACGAGTCTGTGACAGAGGAAATCGTGCATGTTAATTACTCCTGGTAGAATTTTTTCAACTCAGTAAGCTAAACAATTGCTGCGAAGGCTAAAGAGTAATGAACGCTGATGATTAACAGTGCCGCAGACACACCATTCTAAAAAGTACACGTTTCAACCAAATACACGCTTGACTAGCACAGATCTATATTTTTTGAAGTATGTTGGAAACAAAGTTAGCTAGATATTCCAGCACCTCTAACAAACCATGTCGAAAAAATTAGACTGAGCGGAAAGTCTTCGGAAAATTAAGGACAATCTTATCGTTATTTCAATTCTTCAGCAAATTTGATTGTTTTTTAAAAGAAATTTTGTATTCATAGAGTTATTTATAAGAGAAAGGTGTCATTTCTCTGACAGACACGATTTAAAGGCACTGTTTTCAGTCATTAGTCATTCTTTTCGATCTGAGACTGGGTGTTGTGTGACAAAAAAGCAACATTGTAAAGTAATGTTCGGTCATGACCTTTCTTTTAAATCGTTGAATTGTGTTATTGTTGAGTCTACGTCTCATATTGAAACATCTAAATTTAGATATCGCCTTGTGGGACATAGAATAATAAAAAATATCGCCTCTGCCACGATTTGTTGTCAACAGAAGCTTCTCAGCACTTATATATAATTTATAGAGATGTAAGGAGGTGGAAAAAGGTCGTTGATCTGTTTCATAAGTTAAGTTTTACTAAAGTTAAGTTAAGTTAAGTTAAGTCATAAGTTAAGTTAAATTTGACAATTAAACATTAAATTAAGGTAAATATACCTTCGTTCTTTGAACAAATGACAAGGTAATTTTTGGCAAGGGGCGCTACGGTAATCAAGCAACAACTCCAAGGCAAATTTTCTTCTGGAGTCCTCTGTATAATACCTACAAATACTATAATGTGCTCTAAAAGTGTGATGCAATTAGAGGAAAAAATTGAAATTTAATTTTGATTTGATCCAAAACAGCCGAAGATTTCATACGCATAAGACAATAGGAAGAAGAGGTTTTGAGAAAATTTTTCAAATAAATGTGATATTATAAGCGGGGGTTTTGTCGGGAACAGTATATATTAGTATACTTCAAGAGTATCCCCTCGAGAACCAGAGAAATCTTTCTTGGTGTCTGCTTAAAGGTCAGATGCAGAATATGTCCCGGCAGGTGGGCAAGTGTATATTGTCCACACGAAATGAACATAGTCTAGTATTTTATTCACCTATCCTGGGAAAAAATAGCAACACTAGCTCAATGAGGATCATACAATTTTTACATGTGATACTTAAAAACATCATGAATTAACAAATGAGTTATTTCGGAAAGCTATCCAAATGCCTTTTCCGCCGAGGGGTAAAAGTAAATGCACCGTATGATTCTGATGTGCCTTTAACATTTGCCATGACCAATTTTAATGAAAGATTCTATCATTTTAATCGTTTGAAAAATAAAAATACAGAAATGAAAGAATTTTCATGTTAGGGTCCATCTTCATATTATTGCATGTGTGTGTTGATCTACCGAGGAAGCGGTCAACCCACCCAGTAAGAGTATTTTCCAGTTTACTTGCACCCGCTGTCGGTTTTAGGGCAATCTTACTAGAAATTCGAAACGGCATTCCGAATTTGAACAGAAAATAGAAGATACGTCGTGACGATACCAATCACCTAGAACAAAGCAACAAATCAAAGTCATGTAATATACATACATCCACACATATAAGTGACGATATTATATGATTGATTAGTATCATACATGTGAGCGTTTTTATGAACGCGAACTTCATGGACATATTAGGCCTGTAAATTTAAATTAGGATGCACCCATATTATTGAGGTTCAAACGTATCCATTGCGAAATGTCAAAAATTATTTTTATCCTAACGGTTTCTCGGTATTCACTTACGTGTTAATGCATTCTTCACTTTAATATATGCCTATACTTTAATTAGTGCATAAGTTAAAATACATGCAACAATTTCAGAAAAGAACGTTATAGTTTGTAATTTATTGTGGTGTTCTACGCTCTAATTTTAGGTCAACGCTTCATCCTAGGATTATTTTTAAGCGTGCCAGTAGGGCTCGCTTTTTGAAATCACTCGGATGTACCATAGTACACAGATCAACCAATGCTATTCAACGGGTCGTCCAAATACTTTTTTCCTCGCACCCGTTTCTTTGTCTTTGAACCATTACACTGTCAAGCCCTGATGGTCTTTTACCAAAAAATCTAATGAACTGCTAATTGGAAACCCTTGAGAACATTTTTCTGTCAAAACCGTATTATTCAATTTGACAGAAACCTCATAGGAGCTTTCTTACGCTCGGAGGACTCAACTCTAGAACCTTCTTTCCCGCCAAAACTCTATAGCCAATGAGCGTCTTGCACTGTAAGTGCAATCTGTGATGAGCCTCGTGACTCATTATACTATGTACTAACCATGGCCCCTGCCGAAATCCACTTAAACCACTACAGTTATATGTATCTCGCGATATAGCTTTGGGTGTCCGGTTTCGAGCAAGGCAATAAAAGACGGCGAGGCGATTAACCGATTAACCATTCACCGTGATGCCAGGATCCACCGAATTTTCTCAAAAATGGTTTTCCGTCTATTTAGCGAGTTTTTCTTTACTTTCCGTTGAAGTACAAATAAAAAGAGACCTCATTTGTACAAATCGGCCAAATAGGAGAGAAGTTACAGTTCGAAATCCAAAGAGATTAACTGAACGCGATTTCGATGCACGGCAGTTCGCCCAAATCACGGTCGTGCGCAAATGCCGCATATCAGCTTAAAATCAAGATAATTGGACGGAATCTTTAAAATTAATTTACATTCAACGTTCATGAATCAATATTTTCTCCCAAATTTAGCAAAAAGTACCAATTGATGCAAAAAGCAAAGACGTGAAAATAAGAGGTATTTGTCCAACATTTCAGTTATTCGGCACGCTTTTCCAACATACTCATGTTGGATTTTTTCTTCTTGTTTTTTTTTCTTTATTATTATTATTTTTAATCTTCCGATAAATTATGCCCATACGCACCGACGTTAATAACGGTAACTTCAATGCTAATATATACGTCGCATTAAATTCGAGGTGTGCACAATATTGCCGAAATGCAAATGTCTTCAGCTGTAACAAAAAGAGGTATATTTGTTGAAACAGGAGTATGTAAGATATGTAGAACAAATATTCGGAGAATTTTCAAATTGCAACAGGAATCAAGATTCCATGATCGACTTTTACTAAATTGCCCTTGTTGAAAGGGAAATTAATTCCACATTCTATCGCTCAAAAAGTTACTGGCTTTTTTTTTTACTTGTTTTTATCAATTTTTAAATCACTCCAGTGCGGAAAAGATTTTTTAGCTCAGAGTGGAAAATGTTCCTCTGCTTAGTATACTGCAGCAGCAGATTTATGTAGTTACCCTAGGTAAGAAACGTTTATTAGAAATAACAGTCTTCACGATATAGGCTCCATTACAAACCATTTGTAACACAATTATAATTTGTTGCCGTTAATTTGATATATACATTTAGAGACGATGATACATTTAATGAAAACCTAATTGGACCAAATATAAGGCAATATTTATTAGAGGTGTTTTCAATGAATTTGTGTAAAAAGGTTAATACGTTTTCTTACATCCTGAAGAAAAGATGCCTCTGTGTCGGTGTTCAAATACTGGCAAACGATGGCCGCCGATTTATTTCCCTGCGAAAAATCCAATCGAATTAAAGCAACATTATCAACATAAGCCGAGAAAAAAAAACACACTGAAAGGTATGTGTTAAGGATGAGGTATGTATGGAGAGGATAATAAATTACAATTACTGTCAGTCAGTCAAAAGGTGAAAGAAAATTACGATCACATGACACTCTGCTTCTAATAGCTTCGTCTAATGCAATGTACAAGATGAATTGTGTTCATAAAGCGCCTTTTCTTCCGTCTGTTTACCGTGTCCGTTATGCTTTAAATTATTAATTACATTTTTGTGCAACGTCTTAGACGGGCAAATTTTGATTATTTTGATCTTATTTCATACATTATTCACGATCCTATGAAAAATGTCATTACACAAACTACGCAAAAATGTGCACTTGTATTTTCCGTCCAATCAGCATCAGTGACTCTTTATGGGTGACACTGAATGGTAAGAAAACAACAACAAAAAGAGAGAGAAAACACCACAATTTGCGAACATGGAATTCACAGATATGTCTCAAAAAGGCCCATGAGTCACTATCGGAAATCAATTGTTATTCTTTCAAGAACTTTTATCCCCCTTAAAACATACAGAAAGGCATCATAATATAGAGTTTTACTTGAAAATTTTGCAGGTATGTGCAAGTGAAAAAAAGGCCGCCTTACGCTGCCGTGCCAAGGAAGAACGCCGTATTAACATTCGGTCGTTGCTAAATCTTTCCTGCTAAAAATTGTATGTACCAGGAAAGTTATGAGTATACCTTCCCTTCAAATTTTCAAATACTTTAGATTACATTGCGAATGAAATTCGCTGAAAAACTGGAAAAAATCTTGGCCAGTTTTCCGGAAAATTTGTAATTTATCAGAGAAGATTTGACAATGTATGAAGGTTCATACGGCGTTTTCCTTCAGCGTGGCAGTGTGATGCAACCTTTGCAGGAGGGTTGTTTTCAACCTCATACAGGTCCTTCCTTACCTCGACCGACGCAAGAGCTGGTGGAACCACCAAAACGATAAGTTCACAGGCAACGACGCACATCCACAGGGCATCGCAGAGAGCGCTGAGTTTCAGGAAAGTCGTGACAGTTTCGGTGGTGTAGAACAAGGGTATGATGAAGT